TGTATGTGGCGATAAGAACGAAATTAATTTTACCCTGAAGTTATTAATGATATAAACACTGAGATAAAACAATTTGATTTGTAGAAATTACAGTGAATGGACAACAAAAAACCAAATTGTAAATCAACCTTCTCAGATTGTGCAGTGATGCCACCTGCTGGTCGATCAGGCTGACAGTGTACGTGTACTTGCATGTGGTTTTGTAAAATTTTGTGCAGACGTTGACTTGATAATGTTCCGACAGCACTATATGCATATAGCGAATACAACATATTACAGGGGAAAACATGTACAAAAAATAAAGAGCAAACTATATAGTTTAAAGAATAAAAGGAGAAAAAGTCAGTTTTCACTTTTTAGATTTATCATCCATCCTTCAAGAAGATACAGTACAGATTTGACAGAACATTTATTTTTATCTGCCTTATTTCTTTAAATTATGAGCCAGGATTCATGGCTGTGGTGAAGCACATCGAGGTGTCAAATATTAAGAGCCATTCATCACACAGATGGAGAGTACTTGTCATGTCATACAAGCAGTTCTGACTGATGTATGCTTTTTATTTGAATGAGACAATATTAACTTCTGTTTAAAGTCTTAAATCAGTCCATCTCGCCATGAGCTCAAACAACTATTTGGTCTGAAACATTATGGCTACTTCCAATAACATGATTCTGTGAGGTGAAAACACAAATACCATAGAGACCTCCCATACTTTAAGCATTCCTCTAAGCTAATGATCGTTTTGTTCCTATGGAAGGCCTCAGACTATGATGACAGGTGAGCTCTAAGCTCCCTGAACATGAATCACAAGAAGCTGCTAGGCATGTCCACCTCTCACTCACACTAATACACATTATACACACACAGTCACACAGAGTGCAGCAAATATAAAATACATGGAAATCAAAAAAAGAAAGTAACCAACGTAAAAAGTCATATGAATGGACATAAACTTGCTATAGTGTACTTGCAGTTGATAAAAAGAAAACCGAAAAGGTAAGTGAATGTTGGCAGTTGGGAAAATTCAAAATTCTTTGTCTAGGATGGATTTAACATCAGCGAACACCTGCAAGAGAAAAACAAGGAGCAGGTCACAAACATGGAACGATATTTCAGCTTCAACCAATAAATTCAAAAACTTGAACCATTACACAATAATCTGCTGCACATATTTCTAACTTAGATCAAAAGAGATCATTCGGGGCATTAGCCCTTTATTGATAGGACAGTGTTAAGTATTAAAGGGGGAGAAAGCTGTTGGGGAGAGACATGCTACAAATGGGTCAGAATAGAACCTGCAGCCGCTCAAACCTCCCCCAACTTAATGGTCGGGTTTGAGCGATAGTCACAAATACTGTGTACTAAATTTACAACAAAGGCAGTCGTAGTGCTGTGATAACTAACTAATACTTTTATTAGCGATTACTCTGATAATTATTTGCTCAACAGATTAATTTCAAAAACATAATCTGTGAGAAAATGTCTAGTTTAACGTTTTAAATTATAATATTTGCTTTTATTTATTTATCCAGGAGATGTAGATGGAATTTTAAGAATTTCATTTAATTGAACCTATTTAAATGAAAAATCTTATCGAACACATATTGCAGTGTTTTGATTTCTTGACTTCTTTGAGTCAGAATCATTAATGTTAAACCAAGATGCTTCTCTGCAAAACTGAATGGATGTTTATCACTACAGACACGTTTCCATTTTATTTGTAATACATTTTAATGTGATTTGTTTAAAGGCTCTGCACATAGACACATAATATGATATTAAAAAACACTTGAGAAATATTATTTCACATATATTTTTTATTTTTTCCTCACGTCATTAAATAAATCTACTCATTTGTCCCTTTTTAACTCATGGACACACAATGTTTTTTAATTCTATCACTTCCAGAAATTAATCCTTGTGTCTGAAGTGACATGTACTGTTTGTTCATCTTTCAGTTAATGAAGTCAGAAAATAATAGTTTTGAGGTGCAGTTGAGCGTTAGCTGGAACTCTGAGAGAAAGTGTCTTTTTCTAGTGAAAATCTATTTTAGAAGATTTTAGAAAAGGTTTTTCAGTGGGAGTAAGAGCCTCTAGTGGCCAACAGATGAACTCTCTTTCCAGTTTGGCTGCAACATCCAGGTAGGGCAGTTTCCTCTTCTGCCTGCCTGGTGGATTTTCCTCAGTGCTGCAGTGAGGCTGCTTAGCCTGAAATTAGATCGAGTCCTCGGTTTCCTTCTCTAATTTGACTTCACAGACTTTGTGGGCAAAACTATTTTACGAATGTTGGACTGGTGAAAATCCGGTAAATTCTGAAATCTCAGCTTTTGGGAAAAACCTGTCACATTTCTCTACTTCTATTCGCTTTGAAAATCAGACTTCCTACCTTTTAGTTTAAGGAGAGGCATGTTTAAGTTTTGTTGCCCTGACAGATTTCTCCTGCAAATACATTCAGCTGCAGTGGATGTCATTTTCTTATTTGCCTCCTTCTATGCTCCATCGTCCACCTGTCTTTTCAGGAATCCCATGTTGCTGTTCATAGATGCTACATCCACATTATTTACTCACCTCATCCACAGAACGAGAGGCGTCTACTGTGTGCACCTTGCCGTCTTTCTGATACAGGTCAATGATTGGCCGTGTGGACTGTAGGTAGGTTTGGATTCTGCAAAGAAAAATGTTCCTGGTTATTGGGGTCAGATGACACAGGGGACTCCAAGGAGACATAAATTAGGTCAAAAACACACACGCAGGTAAGCGACAGTCAGTTAAGTGGGTCAGAGAAATCACTACTGATGTTTGTTGTACTTTGTTACAGACAAAAAGAAATCAGAGCATGAGATTGATTCTTAAAAGTAGAGTGAAATTAGGCTCGCCAACTCACTAATGATCTTTAAATCACTGCTCAAAACTTATTTACAGGAAAGCATTTCTAACATGCGACTTGTAATTATTTTCATTATAAATCAGCCTTACAGATTTCAAATGTGACGTTCCCGATCTCTCTTTTTTCTTTCAAGTTGCCAAAGTTCTTGCTCATTGTAGAATATCTTTTATCACAACCAATTCTTCAGTGGACTTTTATGTGAAGCACTTTGTGATCTTGTTTAGATAAGAGCTATATAAATAAGGTTATTATTATTGTGTACCTTTTCTCCAGACTTTCTCTGTTGTCATCTGTGCGTCCACTGCTCTTCCCTCTTTCTAGACATCTGTTGATGCAGACCTGTGCACAAACCAGATCATGTCCTCAGTGTAAATTGGCTCCTTGGGATATCAGCACTTTGTATGCAACTAAAAACAGATTGAGCGGTTTCAGTTTTCCAGTTTCCACGACCTACCTCGTTAGCGCAGTCGAAGAAAAGCACAAATTTGATGTCGGCTTTGCCATCCATGACAGTCTTCCACCCCTGGAGGTTGTCCTCGTTGCGGGGGAAACCATCGATGAGGAATCTGAACTTTTTTGCATCTTTCTGCATCGTCTCTTCCATCGCCTGGGAAAACAGGGACAATACAAATTTTTGTTCTAATGGGAAATTCAACCTAGTGTGCGATAGGAAAGTCAGACAGAATCAGGGTGATGACCAACTTAAATAAAATAACTGCCCTGCCTCACAGAGCAGTTGTGTCTTTTTTTACACCCGTGCTAACTACACACGTTCAAACATGAGAAATTGTCCACACATAGATGGGATTGAAACTAATATAGTGCAGAAATCTGTCAAGTATTTTCATCACTTATCGATAGAATTTTATTCATATCATCAAACACAATTCAAAAAAGTTTGCTCTTTGTGTGTGCCCCTTATAGCTCAAACAAGAACAAGTAGAAACACATTCACAAAGCTAAGAGATGTTTTAAGACATCCCCTCAAAAATGGTCACCATTTAACATCTTCTAAATCAATCCAAATGAAAGGGTTTTCACAAACATTTGGGTTACATTTGGTCCTAAGAAAATTGTTTGACCTCCGTGGTCTGGTCTGGATTTACTTCGCGTTAAACGAAAGTAAAACCTGACTTGCAGCTGGAATACGAATACATACCTTCTTGAGTAAATTGATGGTGATCTCCACAGGGACGATTTTACCCTCCTTGATGTGGCTGGAAATGAGCTGTCCAAACTCTGACCCCTCTCTGGCTCGCTCTGCTCTCAGCAGGTCCCCAGCTGACAAATGAGTGTAGCTGTATTTCTAAGAGACAATTTCCACATATTAAAAGCCGATCTCAAGTGAAAAAAACCACAACGTGAAATAAAAGCACCTTGAGATTATTCATCAAGTTAAAGTAACATTTTTTTTTTCACGTTTGCACACTTGTCCGTTTTATTAAGACTAAAACTCCTCAGTGAAGAGGACAGCTTTTTACATCCTCCTGATTTACTAGCCAGGAAAAGTCACTCCTTGTATACGGAATGAAAAGAGCCTCTATGCATAGCTGCCATTCAGGCCTAACCACTGTACATGAAGCACTGCAGCCAACACCCTTGGACATCTGTGAAGGCTGGTGGTTTCTCTTACAGGAGTTATGACACACACACACACACACAAACACACACTTTGACTTTTAGACTAATATGGATCCTTACGTGTATCCTTTCTGGATGGCTTGATACAAATATGCTCTCTTTAACCCATGCTGCTTCATTAGTGTGGTGTGTGTGAAACGATCGAACGATCAGATTACACTCGCTGATACAACTACACACCCAAGATGAGGGGAAGGCTCCTCAGCCAATACACGTCATGTGTAGTGTGACTGTTTAACTCCACGCTGCCACTGACCATTATATAATCTCTAGAGCAAACATAAGTCAGTGATAAGGTTACAACATGAGGCAAATGTCAACAGACATCTCCTGTTAGCTGTGTTTGTAATACCTGTAGCTAGCAGGCGCATTTTCATTCAGGCTATTTACAGTGACACTGCTCAAACACTGAGCTAACCTGTTTTATTTTTCATTGTTTCATGAATTCAGCTGACAGAAATGAACACAGAGAGAGTCTGGATAAGATACAAGTTTCGAATAACTGTTCTAAAGCTAACACCGGCTTGTGTATCAGCAAATATTGTGCAACCTGTGCGGCTAACTAGCTAGCATGGTAACATTTGTTCATTTTAGAGGACAACCGGAAGTCGGGGAAATGTAGACATTGCCTCGTAAAAAAGCCGCAAAAAAGACCAATAACTTCCCTTATGGCGACTATATACTACTTCCACCGTGTCCCACTCATTCCTAACAACAACAATCCACAGTTCGCATTGGCGTTTTTATCGCCATCTCTCGTACCTCCACGATGTTGGAGCACTGGGTCCCTTTGCCGGCGCCAGGCCCGCCCAACACGAACACAACCTGCGGCTTCATCACCAGCAACACCCGGGAAATCAAGCTCGGAACCCTCTGAGACACAGCACCGAACAGACGGCCGATCATAAACCAGCGATCACCGGCAGAAGACGAGAACCAGCGGGACAGGGTGTGCTTCGGTAGTTGAGGAAGGGCAGAGACAATAAAGCTGGGCTGACCGGTGAGTGCGTGTCGGTGTCAGGGGGAGGAGGAGGGGCCACACGACACCACTTCCGCTGTTCACTCCAGTGACCAATGGGGATCTCACAGATTTGTGACGTAATATAACCGCGCCCACTCGGGGGGTTGTTTTGTTTTTTTACGCAGCGGCCGGGTGACGCCCCTCCCCTGCCTCCCTCCAGCATCAGCACCTCCACACCGACAGGGCGACCCGCGGCCGGAGGAGGATGCTCTCCGGACCGTGATGCTCACATCTTCCAGGTGGACGACTCACCGACACACGGCCCGTTGCACGTTAATGATCGCGGCACGTTTATGCCGCCTCGCTGCTTCCATTCATCACGCACCATTCATGCTTCCCCAAGAATGGGAGCACACCGCGCGGACATCATTAAAACCAGCAGCCTTATGATCGCCCCGCCGTCTCCGCTTTAAGAGACCGACCGCAGCTCGTGTGATGCAGCGTCTCCTCATGTAGGTCAAAGTGATGGAGAGCCCGCTATTTGTGTTTTGAGGGCGCCGCGCGGATGTCGGGCTGAGATCGCACGAGGAGGAGAGCCGAGCAAACAAAAGGCATCCAGCGGTCCCCCCCACCCCCCGACCCCCTGCCTCTGACGCACCTGGCTGCCCTGTCGCCACCTGACATGACAGCGCGGAGCCGGGAGCAGAGCAGCAGGATCGAGGGGCACCGACGTGCAGCCGGACGCGTGGACTCGACACGGAGCCGTGGAGCCTCCGGACGCCCCGCGGAGCAGCAGCAGCAGCAGCAGCAGCAGCAGCAGCAGCAGCAGCACCGGCAGCAGCCCCGGGGAGGCCGAATTGCAGTTTCTGGGGACGAGCGCCAAGGGCAGTGCGGCAGTCAGCAGGCAGACCGGGGGGAGGAGGCTGCGGAGATCTGTGATACTTCCCCCCCAGTCCCCCACTACGCTCCTACTTCCATACTATCACATCCTGACAATATGATGGTGGATGCTTCTACGTTTGATCAATGGTGACTGTGATACCCCTCCCCATCATTGTCTCTCCCTCCCCCCCCCCACCTCTCCCAACTATCAGTGATGATGGGTATTTAAAATATTAGATCTGCTCTTCAGGCAAGGGTGGAACCCGGAGGGGACTGATGTGCATACTGGCCAGGTACCATTTGCTCCCTTCTCTGGTTTTGCTCATCCTGCTTGTCGCCTGCACCATGGGCTGTATTCAGAGCATTGCATGCAAGCCCCGCATCCGGCGGGAGAACATTGTGGTGTATGAGGTTTCAGCCTCCATTGACCAGTGTCCCACCATCATTGAGGAGAACTCCCCCATCGTGCTCCGTTACAAGACGCCTTACTTCAGGGCCTCAGCGGGAGTTGTGATGCCACCAGTGCCCCGCAATGAAACCTGGGTGGTGGGCTGGATCCAAGCCTGCACCCAGATGGAGTTCTACAACACCTATGGTGATATTGGGATGTAAGTGTGAAAGAAAACACTGACACACTTTAACTTCTCATATGTTCAGTGTGCATGTGTCTAAAGTATGTTTCGATGAACATACCTCTGTCTGTGAAGGCTTGGGTAACATCTTGTCCACAACTCTGCCCTAAAAAAGCATCTTACCCTCATTCCTCCTCCATCCACTGCTGCAGGTCCAGCTGGGAGTTACCTGAGCTGCGAGAGGGTCGGGTCAAGGCCATCAGCGACTCAGATGGCGTTAGCTACCCCTGGTATGGCAACACCACAGAGACGGTCACCCTCACTGGCCCCACGTCCAAACCCTCCCGCCTGACAGTTGGCATGAACGACAACTTCTACCCGAGCGTGACCTGGGCGGTCCCCATCAGCAACAGCAACACGCCCATGCTGACCCACATCACCAGGGACCAGAGCTTCATCACCTGGCTGGTGGCCATGAACTCCGTCACCAAGGTGGGACAGAAACACACCTAAGAAAAAAATAAGAACAAAAGTTTGTTCTCAAATGCATCAATCTAGTATCCTGATCATCTCAGAAAACAGTGTCACTAATACATTTTGTCCAGTTTGAATGAAGAACTCTGACTGTAGCTAACATCTGAAACAGCTTTCACAGCACTGTGATGTGATCAGCTCCTTCTGCACTTTTCCTTTCTGCTGTCACATAACACAGCCTTGAATTTGTCCCTCAAAACTTTAGTCAAGTATAAAATGTGTATCTAAAGGCTGAGTTTTGTATTGTCTTTGTAAAGTATTGTATACTTTTAAGGGTGTTACCGGTTAACCATGTTTTCTTTGTTGTTGGTTAATATGTTAGGAACAGGAAAAGAGCATGCCTGTCTTTTTCTGTGTTGGATCATCAGGGGTGAGAAAAACTGGCATTAAAACACCTATAGTCTAATGTTCCCCTGTGTCAACTAAAATAACTGATAAAGGTTAAGTGTAAAATCATGGATCCGCACCAAATACACACTCATATATAGTAGTCCCCTAAACATGCCTGATTTTTTTCATCAAGATCCAAAAATGCACTCTCACAATGTTCAAGAAAGGGAAAAACATTTTAATTTAATATGTTCATCCCTGAGCTATATCGCATTCTTCCACAAAGTTTGCAGTAATCTGTTCCAGAGTTTTTGCGTAAACTTGCAGACAAAAAAAACAACCAACACACAAATGGACAGGGGGGAAACAACAAAACACTCCTTAAAAGAGACTACATCATGCAAACACATATATGTAACACAGGCCATATCTGTGAAGTGTCTCAGTCATCAAAGTCATGGTATCTTTAAGAGTTCTACAAAGTGTACATAGGTAACTGGACACAAGCAAGTCCAGCTGTCTATGAACATTTTTACATAAACACAGGAAACACAAGCCATATTAACATCACTTGATCATTTGATATCGCTCTCCTCCTCCAGGAGCGTATTGTGTTGCAGACTGTGCGGTGGCGGATGCGTGTGGACATAGCTGTGGATCCAGACATGCCTCTGGGCTCCCGGGCCTCATTGATGGGTCGTTCCTTCCAGGAGCAGCCGCACATCCTCAACTACCAGGAGCCCATCCCTCCCAACGCGCTGGGGAGGCCCAACGCCAACGATGCCCAAGTGCTAATGTGGAGGCCGCGGAGAGGGGCTCCACTTGTAGTAATACCGCCAAAATAAGAGGGTCAAGAAGCAGCACAGACAAAATAATGTCTAATTGTTCCCTTTTGCAGAAAAATTAGGGTTGTGAGGTTTGATTAAGTCCAGCAAAGAGGAGAGAACTGATGGTTTCACTGCGCTCAAGAGGCCAGCGGATCATTATTCCTAAGAGATTTTAGTGAACCATTGAAACAAGCTGGAGTGGATATAACTGTTTGGATCTGGCACAGATTGGTGTCAGGGGAAAAGGAGTCTGCAATTAACTATTGTCATGGGCCTGGAGGTGCGCTGAGGCTTGTTTGGCCCCTGGCAAGTTGTGGACTGCTTTGAGAAGACTGTTTTTAGACGTACCGCGGAGGTATTAGTCCACAACCAGAACTGCATCCTGCATCCTTATGTAGATTTTATTGCATGAGAGATTGAGAGACAAAAAAAAAAACTGTCGTTGAGAAGTTTAAGAATCGCATTTGTTTTTTTACAACTTGATACATAATGACATTTTGATTGAAAAGTCAGCCAAAAAACCCTGCGGCTGGTTTAACCTTGTCAGCGCCAATAAAGGCCTTCAGAACTCTCCAGAGTTACAGGATGTATTCAGAAAATTTAAGAGACAAAGGTATTATATTATTATATATGGATCTTTTTAGGTTAAGATTACAGTCATACATCAGATTGTATTGAGAACACCCACCCCAGGTGATCAAATGAGCTGTAGTTGTCACTGGAGTTTTGCTAACACACCAAACTTATGCACAGACATGTTCCAGCCTCTGTAGTTCAGCTGATTCTGTTCAGGTGGTTGACAAAGCATCAGAGAGAGGAGCTGGACCTGTTACCACTTTAAATAAATAATGTCAGCTATACTTTCAATAAGTGTGGTGTAAATGACTTGGAATAGTGCCATACAGCAGATTTAAAACAGGACGGTGGTGGCTGCCGTGGCCACATCGTATATATATCACAGCTGGAACGGGGCCGGGCTGAACTAAGACCAAGGGCAGATTTGATGTGGCAATCGGGTCATGTTGCACTACAAAGTTACACCAATCTTTCTACAGTCAGGGAATCTAAATGTACTCTTCAAGTTGATAGTTTCCTTGATGTGGAATTAAACATGACTCAATTTATTGATTTGGATAAGTGCCATTTTTTTTGCTTGCTACAAGGTCGTCCCACAATATCACCTCGCATCGCTGACGTCACTTATTTTTCCGGTTGGTGTATATAATCATTGATGGAATCTGTGACACGGTCCATCCATGGCTCAGTCCAAGTCTCCGCCTGCCAATCCACACACAAATCACATGACTCATCCTCCATCTGTGCCTCTCTCCAGGTTCACGCCTCACCTTCCCATCTGGCCGCTCCTTTCCTACCCTACTGTCCAAACATCACACACGATATCTCCATTTAAACATTTTATCTGAAATCTTCAATCGTACAAAGATGACAATCACTGTATTCTTCTGTCTAAAATCTGTTTTTATCTGTCAGGGTCACTGTCTGTTTCTACCACGTTAAAAAACAGAGGTTAAAATAGGTTATATTAATTCAGTGGGTCCACATTTATCGCTGCACCGCTGCTCATTCAGCCATCTGTTGCTATAGAGACTGCTTTGGTTTTCTGAGAGCACTGCAACTGGAAAAAAACAGTTCAAAATATTCATGGGTGTGTCTTGCTGTGTGTGTGTATGGATGTGAGCCTTTGCACCCCTCCCTTATGCAAAAACACACACAGTTTCAATTTATCCATTCATTTCACTTTGATGTTAGAAGAAAGATCAAGGCAGAGCTGGTTGTTTCTGCATAAAAGAGACCTTATAATTTATACAGTTGTTTTTACATGAAGAGTTTTATTTTGCATTTAAAAAATAAGTGTGATTGATATAAATACTCAGACTGTGAGCAGCAAGGTCAAAGCAGTCATATCCCATTTCATCTCATATAAAAAAGGACGATCAGCATCTTTGAACAGAGGTAACCCCTCCTCTTTGCAGCAAGTTTGCTCTTCACTCCACCACTAGATGGAAGCTCTGTCAAGGATTTCTCCCTTTTTCATGGCTGCATCATCAACAAGCTTTCCCTTTTGGTAAATACAGTATCATTTTACTCACATTATACAACTGAAATATTTCCCCAGAACATTCCCAAACATTCATGTGGCCAAGGATTCATCAGTGTTTCCTACTGGTTTACACTGCATGTATAACATGTTTCAGGAAAATACATCTACAGAGCAAATGTATTTTACACTATTGGCTCCTTCTTATGTACAAGAGGAGTGATGGGGCACATCTAGTCAACAGTCTCCAGTTGTAGTTGTTGGAATGTAACAGGTTTGATCACCTCCATGTTTCCTGCGTCCTTAATTTCCAAATACGTCCTTAATTTTCCAAGTACATCACAGCTCATAGAGTTCAACTCCCTCTATGCTTGGTGGTGTTTTACTGTTAGGCACTGTTGATTGAGGTCTCTGTCTTGATGATGCTAACACTGGCAGGTTTGCGCTGGTAGCTGTAAAGAATGGTGGCCGCCATAACCAGCATGGTCCCCCAGTAAAATAGTCTGAAAGGACAAAGAAGAAAAAAAAGAAGAGAGAAAAATAAAGATGCATTCAAAATTAATTCAACAAACAAACAACTGTGCACTCAGTTTACGTCATGTAAACAAGTCTACAGCCATGAACGCTAGTGAGGAGGCACAATAGACTGTATGTAAAGATGGACGACATGAATGCTTCATAAAAGTGAAGCCAAAGTGTCTTGATTGCCACCTGGTGCCTAGCTGCAGTACAGGTCATAAACCCCACCTCCTTCATGTTAGTTGTTGGGACGTGGACCAAACTAAAAAGTCAAAGCGCACATCAAAGATGGTTTTCGGTAATTTACAGTAGTTCTTATCACACTGGTGATTGTTTCAGTGACTGTTTGGTTTTAGTCCGCTATGTCACGTAATAAAAACAAAGACCCTGATCGCTACTGTGCAGACTTGCAGAAGGTGGCAGTGTTTGTTTCAAGGATATTTTGGCTTCATTTCTAGATAGTGGGAGGAAGTGGTGATTTGTCGTCCATCTTTAGATACTATTACACTAAGGCAAAGCAGTGCTTAGCTAATTGCTAGATAAGCATGCTTATATGCTCATAATGACAATGCTTGCATATATTTAATTATGTTTAGCAGTTATAATGTTTACTATCTAATTAGCTCAAAGCATTAAAGTATAGCTGAGACTGATAGGACTATCATTATTTTTTAATGTACTAGAATATTGGTCAGTTGAAATTTTACACATGAAGATGGCGCTAGAGGAGTTACTTATTACAACATATCCTGAAGAAATATTCAATGTCTGAGCAAATTTAATGGAAATTCTTAGTCAAAGTATTTCATTCAAAATCCCACATGTAAACCATGGTGGTGCTGGGGAAAAGTCAGTACGATTTATCCTCTGCGGGCCATGAATATCTTTACTAAATTTCTAGAGACGTTTCAGTCAGGACCAAAGTGCTGGGTTGACCAAATAACCCATTGACAGACATATCTATCCTTGGAGCCGAGTAAGTCTTACTCAAAAGAGACAAAGAAATTAAACCTGAACCTTGTGGGAGAGAATGCTTGTGTTTACCCAGTGGGATTGAAGTCCATCAACAGGAAATATGAAACGAGAGCGGACAAGATGATGGACAGAGATGTGGCGAATCCTTTAAGGATGTTGTCTGCATATTTAATGACCACAGCTACGACCAGCCCGCCCAGAGCCTGCAGACAGAGGAGACATTTTTATGGCAAATTAGGGACACTCACTCAACATTAAGACAAACCTGTAAGGGAACATGTGTGTGTAAAATTTCAGCAGCAGCTTCACAAACATGAAAATGTAACACAAATGATATGAGATTGAGGAGACTGAACCTGTAAGATGACGACGGTGCAGGTTATAGAGTTGTAGCCCTGAAGTATTCCTGACTCTCTCACCCTCTGGCCGTCGTATACAATCATTCCTATGAAGCCAAACCCAAAGCTGAACAAACCTGGAGGAGACAAGAAGCAGCATAAGTGACATTTCTGTTGCCGAAAAATCGATCTACTCATCTATACACGCATCCTTCCACTTACCTACCCACCCATGCACCCATCCATCCATCTATGAAATCATAATTTAACTTATTGAACAGGACACAGCAAGAGAGGACTGCTGTCTTTACAAGATGATTGTATTTGATTTGTGAGCAACTCAATAGCAGCCATGCAAAAGCTGTGTCTTCTCTCTTTGTATTTCAGTGTAAGAGGAAACCCAGTTACATTGACACACCTCATGCTGGCGACCTCTCCGCCACCTTTAAATCTGTGAAGAATTTGAAATCTCCAGCACGGATATAAGCAGCATCTTTTAAAGAAATCATAATGAGGTCACTTGTGTAACATGGCTCCTCTTATCTTCGGCCTCTACAAGAGCAAGGGCAGTTTTCCTGACCAGAAAACCTGACAATCTACTATTTTGAAAATTATTCCTGTGATTACTGACATAGCTGTACCATGTAGAATTGGATCCTATTCATTTATCAAGTTGTGTGAGTGTCCCATTCCTATCCAACCTTTGGAAAATATACTTTATATAATGTGATATTGAATCTATAATAGTTTTTCATGCCTCCAATGACTTCTATAAGTGATGATTTATGAAGGGCTGCCAAACGATGTGTGGTGTCAATATCACATATTGTCAAATGTCTCAAGAGCTAAACCCTCAATAATGTGAACAGCCTCTGTAGATGTCTTATCCTCTTCTGATATGTTTTTTTCCATTAACTGGGATGCTAAATTCTCTACTTGTTTTCAAAGCCAAACTGTTCATTTGTTATAATTCAACAAAAAAGGAAAATGCAATAGAGGCTTTCATCTAAGGATAAAAACAACCATGTTGCAAAAGTTTCTAGAAGTTGATCTGGACATTAGATATAAAAACCCCAGTTAATTTCTCTTACATTTCACATACATTCAACACCCTATTAATTACATTAGGTGTGTCAGTGAAGCAGTGTGCTCTGTTCTTCTGAAATTCAAAGGTTTCATATTTCCTCAGTACAACTAGATTATTGTTACCTGAAAGAAGATACATTTGAACTAGATCAATTTACCCTTTATTACCATTACTTTTCAGTCATGTTGAAGGCTAGTTAGTATAACTTGAATGAGTTAACTACTAATCATTAATTTCATTCATCCAATGACATGCTGATACATTTTCAACAAGTCAAATTATTTTTAATACATTCTGGCAGGAGAGAACAAGGAGTAAAGGATGGATAGATAAAAATATCCGTGATACAAATCGTGGCCATTTTGGGCATTTGGAGCCGAGGCTGCGCAGTAGCAATTAGAGATGGAGCCAAAGTATCTAGGTCCCATCGTTACATGCTTGACCAATCACGACTCAGTCTCCGCTGTCAATAATGATGTTTCCCCCCGTTCTTAAAGCATCAAATCATAATTCAAACAAACAAAAAAACCATGGACATACATCTGTGTGATAAAGCTACCTAAAACAACCACACAAAAACATAATTTGACTTTTTCGTTTCACTAACACGGAGGAGGCTGGGTTCATGACCTATACTGCAGCAAGCCATCAGGTGCCGATCGAGATGCTTTAGCTTCAATTCTGGGTGCCCTCATGTTGTCTACCTTTATATACAGTTTATGGTTCTAAGAGGGATTAGAACATTATCATAACAAAAACCTCATTCAATATTATTACACACACTCTCACCATTATTCACATTTTTCCTCTCTCAACCAAAAAAAATCAAGGTCATCGTCTCTCACCCAGCTGAATGTTTCGGAGCCACACACTCTGTTTAGTCTCCTTGAGGATTCTTTCAAAGTAAACTCCAGCAAAACCACTGGACACACAGGCCATCAGCACGGCCATCAGTCCCACAAACTGGGATCCTGCCGTCATGTTCTTTTTCTGCGAGGCACCTCCAGACTCCGTGGGCCACTGTGGTGTTTAAAACATCAGGTCAAAACTGATGTGCAGGGACTTTAAATCTGTCTGTTAGTAATAGCCAAAACATCTGATGAGTGCATACAGTCACATTCACAGTACAACACTACACCAGCTACATCTGTGTGTTTGTTGGCTGCTCAGGGACGTCAGGTTTTTCAGTGTCTAATGGTACCTGCACTAGAACAATGCCAGCCATGAGCAGGAGCAGCGAGAGCCACTGGTGGAGGCCCAACCTCTTTCCCAGCATGGAGACAGAGAATAGTGCCGTGGTGAGGATCTTCAGCTGGTACGTCACCTTGAAATGATCAGAGAATATCAGTTACATCAAATGGGATCTTAAGTTACCATATTAATATACAGATGACTTTATTCTAAAGGAGAGTTTCTTAGTTTCTAAAAAGCTTAAACACGATACAGGGGTTTTCCATCCACATTCATTGGTATTATTTACTATCAATCTTAGCAACTGTCAACACAGGGAGCTTTGATTGTTGAGTATCAAATATAAAGTAATTATTCTCCTCACTCCTATCCTATTCAGAAGTAGAAACGAATTGAACGGATGGACGGAAATGTTCTAAATGTAGTGATGACTTTTTGTGCAACCCTGCAGGTTAATATAGAACCGGAAACTTATGGGATGCATTGCACTCACATGAAGCAGCAAAATAATAGTTAATTAATGTTTTTTCAAATTTATATCTAGTTCAAATCATTTTCAAGGCAATTGAACTAATATTTAAGTTAAATGTTTATATACATTTTTTTTTAATGAATCATGCACTGACAATTATATCTATCATTTATGTCACCAGTAGTAACAGGAATTTCAAGTTTGGAAAATTTATGTCAACCTAATGCTGAGAGCAAGACAACAGCCAAATTGTACTGAGATAACATGCACGCACGGACGCACACACACACACACACACACACACACACACACACACACAACCTGATAGGTGGCTCCGTCCAGGTTGGATAAGGCAACATAGAGCAGATTGTTCTGCAGCGTGTAGATCCCTGCAGGAATGGCCAACTTCATCGTCTCCATGGGCTTGTTCAAGATCTCCTCCTTCAGCAGCTTGGTCATTGACTGCACATTGAAACCTGGCAGAGGCAAAGTACTGTATAATGTACCCTGAGGGCCACCTATGGAGTGATGAGAAACACACACTACTCACTGCAATCCTTGAAGACAAGCAGGATGCAGGTGAGGACCTTGAGCACCTCAGCCAACACCACGGCAGAGGAGGCCAGGTAGCGGGGTCCATCTTCCTTCAGCGTGCGGGAGTAGCGCATGGTGAGCACCAGTGACGTGGTCTGCAACACCAGGACCCCCAGAGACACATACTTTAGCCTTGGGTAGTGTGCAGTGGACATGACCATTGCGGGCCACTCTGTTGTGCACTTTTGCAGGCGACAATGGATCCTATATGAGAGACAGAAAGGCAAAGAGACAGACAGGGTGAGATCAGATCTGGGTGGGCAGATAAAGGGGACACACCTTGATTCACTTGATGCACCTCGATCAGGCACAGGAAGAGAAATGCTGCTCAGGTGAGATTGGGGAACCAACTTCTGCTTTGGCAATTCTGTGTAGAAGTCAGACACATTGAAGGACAGCATGACAGATTCAAAGACAAGCTGGGAGGTGAAAGTTCAGAGAGAGGGACGATAAGGACATCTGCTCTGTAATTAAAGGGTTGAAGGTCAGTGCAGAACATTCCTGTGATCAGCCTTCAGCCCTGGAGCAACATGCGCACAGACTAGTTATTCAAGTAATGGGGTGAAAACAGGGATATGAGTAAACCAGGTATTTCACATTAGAACTCAAAGGTCTACCCAGAAGTCGAGTTGTGGGTTTGAGCAGTGTTTGTGCCCATATATTGATTGTATCCATCATTGAAAATTGGACCAATAACAAGAAATTATAAGCAAATGCTGCCAAAGGAACAAATAAATAAGTTGCACAACAATGCATCTCGATGCATTTCAATGTATCACATTCACAATGTAGCACATGGCCGCTTTTTCAGTAGTGAATATCAGTCAGATATGAAATCTCTTTTTATTTAGAAAGTGCTTTAAAAAGTATTACAGACTGTTATTGTTATTACAAGTGTGCTGTAATTTACAAAATAAGGTTTTCAATTCAAAAATCAGACCACAACATTAAGTCTATGACAGTGGTCAGTGCTCTCCATACTGATGTGAAACTCATTCAGTTTAGACAAACTGTGATAATAGTTGATAATTACTGTATCAAGGTGGCCCCACCTATAAATAATAATTTAGGATTATTAGAGAATACCATTCATCTTTTATTAAAGGCAGACGTAATCATACCTGAGTAGTTCTTATTCTTCATTACACTTCCTTGATATGATTTCTTTATACGTTAAGTATATCTATGAGATTTGAAACCATAATATAGCAGCCAATAATACATTTTTTATGGAAATATATTATAAGATAATATAATATAGATAATGTCCTGAGCACAGAATTAAGTCTCACTGCCTCCGTGTGTGTTGTAGTCTTTCTGTGTTACTTGTTTTAATAGTAAGTTTAGTCCTACATTCATGTTACTGTATTTGTCCTCCTCGCATTCATAAAGTGAGATGGCTCCGGCTCCGATCAGCAGTTACTGTATATAAACACACCACCCGGATGATTGTATTAGTTAAAGGCTCTGTCCGTGCTGTGACATCTCAGATCACAAACACTGTGATCACACCTGTCATCTGTTCATCACAATGCTGTTAAACCAGATATGCTGTGGCTACACCCTAGTTTATATGACAATGAATACTCTGCATATAACTTCCTTCATTCTTCTGGGAAGCAATCAGGGTGTTTTAATATGTTTCATTTCATTTAAGAAAGCATGAATTGTGAAGCAGGAGGTTTCATACTGTTTCAAACAAAATGTACAAATTGGATGTGATGAAGTTTTATGTTGAACCACTGGTCTATAAATGGTAAACGGTCTGTATCTATACAGACCTTTTCTAGTCTCAATGACAAAGCACAGTACATTTGTACATTCACTCTTTCCTTGGTACAGAGCTACTTTCTCTGTGAAAAGGGGCAATTTGGGGTTCAGTATCTTTCCCAAGGACACTTCAGCTCACACAGATGACTCCATATTTAGTATCCTATTGTTTCACATTTATATTTAACTCCCAGTCTTTTTTAAAAAATAATTTATAATCCCAAAGACAGTAAAGTTCTTAAATACTTGATTTTTTTCCGCTCTGGAGATATATCAGTTACTGTTTGTTGCTGCTAATACATGTACAACACAACACACTTCTTCTATTCATTCCAAATTAAAATAAATTTACAGTTTCAGAGGGCTCCTGCAGGTGCTTACTGTAAAATATCAGCAGAAAAGCATTGTTGAAATTTCAGTCACTTTTCCAGTCAATTCAGTGATTTACATCTCACAATCGCTTGTTTGTTACTACAGAAATACAGTTTGACAAAGATACATTGTACAGATAACAATAATAAAATAACAATACTTATCACCAAGTACATTTAACTTGATTATGAGTGTAGTGACCTGTACTTGTAAAGAAGTACTTGCTCATTGTTGTATTAATCTTTAGATTAGGTAAAGGATTTAAACACATTTTTATCGCTGCCGTATCAAAATGCAAACAATTAGAGTACAGTGATAGCACACAAGTCTGATTTCTTTTTTACTACTCACTTTATATGTAATCTATTGGCCCTCATGAAAGCGCGTATACAAATTTCACATTTTCTAGCTATTATACATTAACCACTGTGAGGTTGAGAGGTTGAGAGAGACACTCATACCCTTCGTTTTACATTTCCTAAAGGAATCATCTTATCTCGGAACAGTCAAAGTTCACTTCACTTTTCTTCATCACCTCATCCACGTGCATCCACATTTTAAACTTATGTGCAAAAGGCAGAATACTCAAAGAGGCAGAACATACTAAATGTCTGCAGCAGTGTTACTTGCAGAGTAGCCCTCTTCAGTGTTTGCACTGTATGGTTATTAATTAGTTAACACCACTGCCACAGCGTTAAGACCAGAGAGTTGTGTACCTAGACCTCACATCTTCCAGTTTGTAATCCCCCTACAGTTTCTGTTATTCATTATTGTCAATTATTGAGATAAAGTGATGGCACCGTCATGAAAAACTGTATTTCTACTATGTTAAGTATCACACTTTAGTAAATAGACGACGTTAAACAAACCACGAAGGCCAAAGGTGTGGTGCCTTCAACACACTGCCCTCCTTATGCAGCCACTCGGCTAAGCAGAGAGACTTCGCTGCACAATCCCCCTCTGTGTCTATGAGTGTGTATGTATGTGTGTGTGTCCTTCTACCCACCCAACACTCTCCCTCTCCCTCCTTCCATTTTTGCCAGCTATGCATTTGTTTATCTGGTAAAACATACTTGAGGAAGTATTGGGTGTTTTAAATTCCTTATAAACTGCAGCATGCTGGAGGCTTAGTCTTTACAACCTGTTAAACCAAACCTTGTTCAGACAACATTCTAGCACAGTAAAGATAGTCTCCAAGAACACCAAATATGTGAGACAGTTGGGGAACCTTCATATTGAGAGCTATTTCAATTTCTGTAACATCCTTTGTGTAACTTCTCTCATGTGATGACTGACTGGTTCTCCAGGTTTGGGCAGAACGCATCTCTTCAGAATCTGTATTGAAGGTAACTGCAGCAGGTTGTCCCAAACAGGGAATCAAACATCAGAGGACGTCTCCTCAGAATGGGTACGTCCTCGGGACGTACTTACAATTTTACGACAAGGTCGTTGCGCTGAGCTTTTTGCTTGTAATTGGTTTACAGCTCAATGATTTCATGTTGTAGGTACAGGTGGTTCCACATGAGGCAGAATGATGATGTTAAGATTCTTTAGTTGACTTTTTAAGTCGTAGCTCTCACCAAAGTCCTGAGGGAAATAGGCAAACTCACTAGCATACTAAGATGTCATTCTTGGCTTTTGTTCCTGCAGAAGAGGAAAATACAAAGTGTTTTTGCCACAGGATGCATGGCCTGCAAAGACAGCAAGTCTTCCGTCATATCAAACTCCACAATGATCCCTACACAAAAACAGTTGGCTAGTTTAGAGGACATTTTCATTTGTTTTGTTTCATTGCAGACCAGAGGGCAAACCTGGTAACGTACTGTGCCAATTCTTTTGAATGAGGTTTCATTATCTTAGATATCAGCTCACTCAAAACCTGCAAAACCAGCCTGTGTGAACTCAATCCGAATGAAGTCTTGTGAAAGCTGCTCGTTGGACAACAATCTCCACTGAAGAGCGTTGACTTTATCCAGGAGAATTGTAACTTGTCTCGTTGAGGTGTGTGTTTAAGATTGGCCTTTATTGTCACTGTAACTGTGTCCTGCAATCTGTGCACTGGCTGTTCTTTTGTTCCAAAGAATAATTGTTGTAAGTGCAACATCCCGCATCAACTCTCTTTCTTTGCCAGCCACCATGATGATTGAAATGCATGATGTGCCCTCTGCCTCAATAAGTGTAAATATAAACAGGTCATACAGGTGATCAAAAACACATCAGAGAGCAGGGGTGAAAAGTAACTACCAGTACAGATACTCAGTCACTGAACTTGGTGGAGGTATTTGTACTCTAGTATTTCCACTTTCTGATACTTCCACTCTATTTAGGACTTTTAGACATTAAGATTTGAACTATAAAAGAAATGAAAAGTTATCAAAAGTGATGCAATGCTTAAGAATAAATGATCCTAGGGTGTATAAAGCAGCTCTGCCTTGTGTTGGCCTATTTCCTATGAGAGACATGTCCTGTCCTGTGACCCACAGACTGTCTACTCTGTGAGGGTTTGATATTGTAGGTAAGAGCTTCTATCACACGGTTAGTTCTGACACGCTCAACAGACTAATCACTCCAAAAATCTGTAACATCTGCACAAAACCTGTGAGGCTAGTTCCTCTGGTCTTTGACAAAACAAAGGAATATGTGTGTGATGATAATCTTTTATCCAATGAAGATGTCGCATCAGGTAACACATGATTTATTTTTTGGGGTTGAATCAAACCACGCCCACTTATCTGTGACGAAAGCATAAATAACTATAATCCGGAAGTGACAGTGGGAACCCCGAATTTAGAAAGTGAATGAAAGCAGCTTCTGTGTGCTGCTCCATCTTTGGGACATAAGATTGAGTCCAGGGCTCAGTCTGAGGAGTCCGAGTAATACAAGAGAAGGAGACCAGAGAGACAGACAGATCACACTGCGAACATTTCTCAGATCTAAAGCAAAACCGAACAACAACCACAACAACAACCAGGGTCTGACAACAACAAGGCATGCACCCGCAGCTGGGGACGTGGACCTGTGTCCCGGTGGGACCACACCCCTGAGAATCCAAATATGACCAAGTACTGGAGTTTACAACATCATCATCACCATCATCCTGGGACTGCACAGGTCCACACACAGACTCTGTCAGTATCTGCTGATACTAAAACCAAACTGTCACAGATGTCTCCCGCCTTGTTCACACACTCAAAGTTTAACTTCTCCTGTTGAATGTCCACGTTGACAGTCTCACAGACACTCACCTGTAGAAGTGGATCTGAGCTGAGGACGCGGGTGAGGACCGTCAGTCGCCGGATCGTCCTCCCTCTGCTGCTCCTCTCTCAAGGTATCACCCACCCCCATGGAGTCAGGACACAGAGGAGCACAAAGCTGGTTTTATTTACAAACTACAGACTGAGGCGTCCTCCAACACCCCACCCCGTCCTCACATATGGACCACACACTCTAGAGGTTTGGCGACACCTGCTGGAGGACAAAAGAAGATGACTAATTGTTCGAGAAAGCACTTAGAGAGAAACTTTTTATTTCATTTCTCACCCAAATTCATGTAATGATTACTAAATGATTTTAAAACAATCAGTGTCTGTCTTAGTAGCGAGAATGTCACTCAGTAGAGCAGACACCTCCACCAAGGCCCAGTGGTCCCCACGTGAAACCACATTTAAAGGAACAAATGTTTTGATCTGCACCAAATTGCACACACACTCATATCGTTCATATAATTATCAGTAATATCATTACTCTACATGTGCCTGATTTTTGATTTCATAAATTATTTTCTGAGGAATCCATTAAAATGAATCCTAGACCCCAAAATTGAATGGTTCTTTCCTTGGGTCATGTCCCACCTCTACAGATCATTTCATAGATATCTGACGAGTTGTTTTTGCGTAATCCTGCTGACATTTAAACATGACTCTCCAAGGGCTTAATAGGGTATTTAATGTGATAATACGTGATTTTGTTATTTTTATTACTATATATTATTATATTTTATGTTCGATTTGATATGATTCAGCTGGTTTTTATGTTAGGGTAGGATATAATTTACAAATAAATGGATCCTGATCCAAACACTTGAAGATAATATGTGTTTTTATATTTTAGATCAACTCACAGAACATGATGGTTAAACTTATATCACCTGCTTCCCCTTACACTGATTTATGAAAATTAACTTTATAATAATGATAAAATGTTGTTTTGATATAAAGTTGTGGAGTGTTAGTAGTTTTGTTTTTGTGGCAGGAGACGTTCAACGTTGAAGAGCGCAAGATGGCGGTGTTGCCCACTTTGACTCGATTTTCGACCCTCATTTCTAGCCGAAGAAGAAGAACACGTGTTTCCGGTGTTTCTCCGGTGAGACGCAGAAGAAGTCAGTCCTGTAAATAAATCGTGTTTATCCCGCAGAGGAAGTGAAAATGGTTCGTAAGTTAAAGTATCATGAACAGAAGCTGCTGAAGAAAGTTGACTTCATCAACTGGGAGGTGGACAACAACCTGCACGAGGTCAAAGTGCTGCGGAAGTACCACATCGAAAAGAGGGAGGACT